GGTAGTCCCTTGACTAAACTTAGCCTAACCAGTTTGTCAAGAGTATGAAAATTCAGATGACAGAACCTGGTATGCCAGAGCCAAGCTTCTTCGTTCTTCACAGAGGACACCAGACTTACTTCTTCTTTGGCTTCTAAYGAATCAAAGCATAGAAGGTACAAGTCTCCTCTTCTGTTGGCTCTCATCACCTCTATCAATGTATCTGCTTTGTACATTATGCAGTGTTTGACCTTGAAGAGCACATCYAGACCATTKYCACATAGTTGACTAACACTTATTAGGTTGTGTTTGAGTCCATCCACGTATGAGACTTGGTTCATCTTAATATCTCCCTTCACGATCATCCCGTAGCCCTTGATCTTCCCCTTTTGGTTTCCACCAAAAGCTATGGTGACAAATTTTTTAATGACATATATCTTCCATGGGATGCATTTGTCAAGTTAATTACATCTCCCCAAATGCGGAAGCATAAGTTGTTTGCTCAAGTTCAAGAGGCATGCAGAAAAGATGTTGAGCGAACATTTGGAGTTCTACAAGCTCGTTTTGCATTTATTCGACGACCATGACTTGTTTGGGACAGACATATAATGGGACAAATTATGATATCTTGTATCATCATGCATAATATGATAGTTGAAGACGAACGGGATACATACCAAAATTATTATGATCCTACTGAGTTTCTTAACAACATGCCAACAAATCGACAACAAGGAAGCGCAACAGAAGATGATGGCCAATCAATTGAATTCTCAACTGAACGGATTTCAAACATATCTCGTTATATGGCAAACAGAGAAAAACTTCGCAATAGGGAAGCTCATAACGCTCTAAAAAATGATTTGATTGAGCATATATGACAAAAATTCAGTCATGATAATTTACTACGATTATTTATGTATTTCAAATATATAATTTCGTACTTTTTTACTTGTTTTATTTAATTTCAATTGTATGGTAAGTTTTTTATAATTATAATTACATTTTAAAATATGTAATGATCTGTTTATTCTATTTTTATACTTCAAATTAAAAATTAATAATTATATATAAAAAAATTAATATATGATTTTTATAAAATAATATTTAGATTAGTTTGGATTGGAGGGGATTGTGTTTAAATGATAAAAGAAGTAAGATTGAATTGAAGTTGAAAATTGTATAAGTGGATGAGAGAGAGAAACTAATATTTTAAGTGAGATTGAGTTGTAAAGAATTATGAGACTATCTTTACTCACGGTCCGGCCGGCCGTGAGTAAGACGAAACTATTTAAAGAAAAAAAACCAATATATACCAATCCCTATCATTTCACAAACCAAGATTGCAAACTTTTTATCCCTTTCTTTATGCCACATGTCAAGTGTGCTATCTAAAGTTTGTTTTTATGTTAAAATGAATGGTTCACTTTCTCTCAATAATGTGTTGTCTCTTTCACTCAGTTCACATGTCATTGTGTCTCAATAATGACATGTCTCTTTCACTCAGATTTACATGATATTGTCTCCCAATAATGTGTTGTCTCTTTCACTCAATTCAAATGTCATTGTCTCCAATAATGACAGGTCTCTTTCATCAGGTTCACATGTCATTTTCTCCCAATAATGACTTATATATTTGTTGTCTTTCAACAAAGATTTATACATACAATTTTCTCAAACATTCACTTAAAAGTCTCACAATGAAAACTTTTCACCAGAATGAGTTGACGAATTTGATGAATGGCAATCACGAGTTGTTCAACAAAATCAACAACTTGATCGCATAATCGAGGATATGGTCATAAACTCATCCAATATATTCATAGGAGATCGACCACCAAGAGCAAGTAGGATGTATCGTGATAGGCAACATGAGATGGGCGAAATGTGTTTGATGGAAGACTATTTTATCGATAATCCGACGTATGACCAGGTTATCTTTTGAAGAAGATTTCGAATGCGAAGACCTTTATTTCATCATGTAGTAGATGATATTACTGCTAATGACAAATATTGTCCGCAAAGAACTAATACCCCAGGTAGACAAAGTCTTTCACCATTGCAAAAATTAATTGCGGCCATGAGGGTGTTGGCATATGGGGCATCAATTGATGCAGTTGAAGAAAATTTGAGAATGAGTGGATCCACAACAAATGAAATTCTCATACACTTCGTATATTTGTCATCTCATGTTTTGATGACGAGTACCTCAGAAAGTCTAACAATAATATTTGAGAATGAGTGCATCCACAACAAAGAAGCTCTCATGCACTTCTATTTATGTATTTCAGATATGTAATTTCGTACTTTTTTTTACTTGTTTTATTTAATTTCAATTGTATGTAAAAAATTTATAATTATAATTACGTTTTAAAATATGTAATGGCCGGTTTATTCTACTCTTATACTTAAAATTAAAAATTAATTATTATATATAAAACAATTAAATATATGATTTTTACAAAATAATATTTTAGATTAGATTGGATTGGAGATTATTGTGGTTAAATGATAAAAGAAATAAAATTGGATTCAAGTTAAAGATTGTATAGGTGGATCAGAAAGAAAGTAACATTTTAATTGAAATTGAGTTGTAAAAGATTGTGAGTAAAGATAGTCTAAAACCCCAGTAGGAGACCTGTTATGAATGCTCTCGATACCTAAATGTTTAAAATGTCATATCTCATATACCGAAATGAACTTTTTTAAAAGGGCTAAAAAAATCCAATGGACTTTAGTGTTTGGAATGATTAAATTTTTGGACAATTTTTTGGAACAAATAAGTTCTTAGACATTCCAAAACTTATTAAATAACTCTTTAGATATTTCAAAACCTGTTAGATACATCCTTATAACCTATACAACTGGTTAATGTGATAAAATAATGAAAAAAAATCTAGAAAAAAAAAACCAACAGATTTTTCATATTTTGAATGATTAAATCTCTAAACAATTTTTAAACCAAAAAAGTACTTACATCTATAAAATGAAATAAATATACCATAAAAATATTTACATTTACAAAAAAATATTTACATTTAAAAAAGATTATTGATGAAATATATTTCAATTAAAAGTAAAATATTTTATGTCAATGATTTTTTAAATAAAAAAAAGATTTAAAAAAGAATATGTTGTTGATTTTTCAAATTAAAAAAATAAAAAATAATTTGATTCAATCACTGACCGGATTAACTATAAAATTTAACTAAATACATAATTAAATAAAATTCGTCACTAATCCATCGATGAAATGATATCACCGACAAAATTCAAGCACGATCTTTCACATTTATTAAACATGTTATTGTGTTAGAGCGCCTAACGGTGGTCAAGCTAGCCATCAATTAGATATAAGTAATCAATGCATATATATCAATGAACATTAACGATAAATTTTAATTAATTATGTATTTAGTTAAATTTTTTATCATACCTGTCAATAATTTAATCAAATTATTTTCTATTTTTTTAATTTGAAAAATCATCAACAGAATATATTTTATTTTTAACTAAAATAAATTTCATCAATAAGAATGTATTTAACAGGTTTTAGAAAATCCAATAAGTTATTTAACAGGT